CCTTGAATTAAAATACATTAAAAAATATAATAATTTTATATTTATTTATATAAAAATATTAAAGAAACGAAACTTTTAACAAAATTACAATTTTTCAAAAAAGAGTTTAGTCAAGTATCACTAGTTAGCTACTTCACGCATTTTTTTTGCAATTGAAGGAGAAGGATCTTTTTCATCTCTAAATAGATTCTTCACTTTTCATTATATGGCATGTCAGCTTTTGCGTCAAGACCACACTTTTTTAAGAAGAATTTAAGCGAACCTTTCTTTTTATTTTTGAACGAGGGTAACATTTTTAAGACACACCTGAATATCAATTAGTATGCATTCTGGCAGTTTAAGAAAACTGGAAAAGAAATCATTATTCATTTCTGCAGTAATTTTGATCCTAATTGGTCCCCAAATATTCCTTTTCCTCTAGATCCTTCTCCCTTTTCTCAGGAGCCTTAACAGTATCCTTTTTCTTAAAAACATTTTCAGATTTCACTCCTATCTTTTCACGATATTTCCACTTTAGGATTTCATCTCTTGTTTCAAACTTTTCTGTTATTCGTTCCCACATCCATTCGAGTATGTTGAAAAGGATAGGCTTTTTCCATAATAAAATGCTAATCATAGTTTGAATCGTTAAACCCAACTTGAATATCAGAGGTAAATGCTTATCAACAGATGGTAAAAGATTTTAGCAGATTTACTTGATTTTCACAAATGATTGTAATCCATCGCAGATCTGGTTCTATCTCAACGTCTATAAGACAAATTTATTTTAATGGTTCTGGGTCATCCTTCCAATTTAAAGTCATATAAATCATAAAAACATTTTGATTCAGATCGAGGACTTCAGCAAATTCACCTAACTTTTGTGATTGTATCTCTATATCCCATGTAAGAATAAGAGTACAATCCCTTCTGAGTACTGAAATAGGGAATCAGTCACTTATTGTTGTGAAATCCTCTAGCGAATAGCAATATTTTATAGATACATAGAATTCACATGAATAAAGTAGGCTAGTTTACTTGCCTTTCTCGCATATATATTTGTTTATTGTGGATCACCCAGAGAGTTGGATTCCATTTTCTCGAGCTACCTTTCGGTGGAATGAGTATAAATCATCTGAAGCAGTTTTGAAATTATTTTTTTGGATAGCTTGGATGGCTTTCTTTCTCCCCCTAGTACTATTCATATAAATTCATAAATATGGCATTTTTTCTGTATAGTATCTGTGGAAAGGAAATGCTTTAATGTGTTCTATTTTAAATGATTTCACATTATCAGAGAGGATTTTGCTCACCTTTTCTTCACATTCATCTAGAGTCTTTCTGTCTGATATGAGAATGTCAAAGAAAACCTGAATGCCTATAAGAGTTACCAGTGCCTTTTGGCTATTAATAAGGCGATCATAAAGACGCAATATATAGCGGTATATTCCATTTATCTTTTCTGTTAACCCTTCACTATCAATGGTCATGAATGGAATTTCTTGACAACTGGATAGAACATCATCAAGGATTGTGGTTAATTCCTCATTATTTTCCACAACTATATCATCCAAAATTGGGAGGCTATTCAGTATTTTTCAGCAGAATAGCAAATTGCTTAGGCTTCTATTTTATCTTTTTTAGCCTTTGGGTAAAAAGGGCGGGGGCATTGAAAAACTCTGAAAGCTCAGATTGGATTATAGTAAAAATTTTCAGATATGTTATCTAGTATACCGTTTTAGTATAATACCTCAACAAAAAAGTTTAAAATAAGAATAAATATTATTATATATATCAAAGTGTTATCCAAGAATAATATTAATGGGTGGTGAATACATTTGCCAGTATCGTTCTGATGAAGGAGAGGTTTGTGGGCAGAAAAGCAGACAAAAAGAAGGATGTAGTATTCATTGAAAAAGATATCAGTGACTTCTATGCAAACAAGATAGATGTGAAAGACTAACAGTCTCTAAATATAGGTTTTGTAATTTGCATGTAAATAAGTGCTATTCAAAAGTAAATTATCACCAGAAGAAATTGGATAAGATATTTCAGGACTGGCAGACTCCAGAGATATTAGAAGAGACTCTCAATAGAATGAAAATGCCTAATACTATAAGTTGGCCCTAATGACTTATCAAAAATTTGACCTCATGAAAAATTTATAGGGATGACAAAAAAAACTTAACAAGAATGCTGTTAGTATAGCAAACTGGGAATTTCAGAACTCTGGGAAGGCATTTTTACTACTTATCCCTATGACCCTATGAGTTCCTATGAATTTCTGAACTATTTACCTTTTTTTATTTTTTTTTATATCATACATCGACCATATACCAATTATATCAACTATATACATGATTATATTTACTTATAAGAGTATCATGAAATAATTAAATTTTTTTCTTAGAACTTTTATTTTTCATAAGGACTCATGGGGTCATAGGGACAAGTAGTAAAGAACTCAATAAATTAAGCTAAGAAGTCCAAAAATGATATCGGGATTATCCCTATGAGCGTTCCTATGAATTTTTCTTATAAAGACAGAGAATTTTTATAGGGATACTCAAAAAATAACATACTCATTACCTCAGAAGTGTTTACAACATCTCACTAATATATCGGTAACAAATAGACAATTATTGGATTATAAATAGTGCAGCTTCTGGTGTCAGCCATAGTAATGCGTATTGCATCTCCAATTCTGGATACAAAAAATATGTGACACAAATGCATATATATTAGATTTCAGGAATATTCCCAGAACATTCTCATCACTAGCCCATAACTATGTGAGGGTGTTCTGGCGCTGAACAGTATTATGTGATCGTGACGTAATAGGCGCAGTAAGACGCAGTATAAATTTGCTTAATTTCAATACGTATAGTAATATAACAAGTAAAAAGAAAAAGAAGCCAATACAACTTGATATCCAAATAAATGGAGAAAGGTGGGAAAAAATAGGAATACAAATAGCGTAGCTAATAGAAAATAAGTAAGTAGAAAGAATAATCATGAAATAAATCACAAAAAATCTGTAGATAAATGAAAATAAAATACATCTGTAACATGATTATACATGAAGTCAAAATGGATCATTTCGGATATCCGAAATAGTCAAAATGGTCAAAATCATTTTGACCATTGAAGGCTAAAGTCGCAAAATAGTCGAAATGACGTCATATCACATGATTTTTCATATTGAG